GAACTGAATGGGCCTTGAATATTTCCGTGCTGATTCCAGCATCCTGAATGGTAAGCCGGAGCCAGCGCCCAACGGTAGGAGAGGAAACCGGTTTGTGAGGCTTAATATAAGAGATGAACGAAGGGTCCGGTTGGGAGCACGGTAGAGTATGGCGAACTGCAAGCGATTTCTTGAGGTAGTGACGGAGGGTCTCAACAGGACAAAGTTTCTGATTGTGAGGAAAACGAGCGAAGAAGGCTGAGCTAATTGACTAGGGTTACCACGCTTTCTAGGGGAGGTAAGGGATTAAACAACTCCTTCTGGGAGGATTTTACAGTATCTAAGATCTAATTTAGCCAAAGAAGCTGCCCTTTCTGGGCAAGCCAAGGCAAAGAGCATAACAAGTTTCCTTAACAACTGCTTGACGGACAGAGAGTTATTGCTTCCTAAGGAAGTCAAGTGTGCTGTCACCTTCCTGACATCCCAAGTATGTGAGTACCTTGGTTTCGGAGGGCGGGAGTTGAGTATTCCCTTAATGAGCTTAGTGACATGAGGGTGTTGACCTACAGGGAAGCTGTCATTCTTTGAATGTGTTGAAGAGATAGCTAAGCGCAGTGCATTTATGGGGCGGTACTCCAAACCATCTGAAAAGGCCTTTGCTAGAAATTCAAGGACCTTGGAGAGTGGGCCCTTCAGTACACCAGCTACTCCAGCGGGACCATGCTGACTGGTAGGCATTGCGAGTGGAAGACCGAGTTGCTGAGACGAGCAATTTGGAAACCTGTTCAGGAAAGCCCTCTGTCTGGTAGTATTGTTGGAGATATGACACACGGTCAAATGAAGGCGTGGGAACATCGGATGTATCCTGTTCGGATTGGAGGGGTCCTGCAAGAGATGTGGACTGTGTGGCAGTAGGACNATGAAGGCGTGGGAACATCGGATGTATCCTGTTCGGATCGGAGGGGTCCTGCAAGAGATGTGGACTGTGTGGCAGTAGGACAGGGTTGCTGACTAGAAGACTCAACAGGATAGGCCACCATGATTGGGCTTGCCATATTGGTGCTACAAGCCCTAGATCTGTATTGTCCTGGATTACCTTGTTGAAAACCACTGGATTGAGGTTGAAATGGGGAAAGGCATAACCCTTCAGAGAATTCCAGTGTAGAGTTAGGGTATCTATATGAAATGCGCCTGGATCTGGTCTCCAACTGATGTATTGAGGTAGCTGAGCTTTAGGCGACTGGCAAACAGATCTGTGTT